GAGAAAAAAATACAATATATATGTCAAATTATTATTCCTTTTTTGTTTCCTTAATATTAAAGGTTTTATAAATAATAAAAAAGATAAAATTTGCAAAAGCACATGAATTAAAATATAAACAGAGCATGTGAAATAGGGTATGTTTGTAAGATTGGGGTGAAAATAATGCCCAAATCCCTGGAAATCAGGTTAAAATTAAGAAGTTTACCCCTTTTTCTAAATGATGGCATAACTTTGCCAAAAAAGGTTCTCAGAATAAAATATTTTGGGAAATTTAATATCTTTCTACTATATATAATTTAACATAAAATTAGACAAAACGAAAAATTTCATCCATCACCCATCATCAGGTTCTCTGGGACAACCCTACTTTAAAACTTACAAAGGTGTTTTACTTACAGAAGTATTTAACTTACAAAGGTGTTTTACTTACAGAAGTATTTAGCTTACAAAGGTGTTTTACTTACGGAAGTGTTTAGCTCACAAAGGTGTTTTAATTACAGGAGTATTTAGCTTACAAAGGTGTTTTACTTACAGAAGTTTTTAGCTTACAAAGGTGTTTTACTTACAGAAGTATTTAGCTTTCAAATGTGTTTTACTTACGGAAGTGTTTAGCTCACAAAGGTGTTTTACTTACAGATACTGATTTATCAAATATATTGCACTTAACTTAAATAAATGTCAACACAATTTCACACAATACGCATAGAAATACTATTAAATTTATTATAATTTATCAAAAACAAAAACCATGCTTTAGGTGTGAGTACCGTAATCCAACACAAAATTCAAAAATTCTGAACAATACTATATTGCACGTATGGCGTTCGTGACCAACTATGAAGCGCTTACTCCCCATAGTGTTATCAAAATGTACCTATTCATATAAGGGTTCGATTTATCTACATCAAATTATAGGAAGTCAGGTTTCTTTTCGAGATATGCAAAAAATATAATTAACTTACGCGCTGTTTGCGAATTACCATGTTAATGGGCATGTTTAGCTAGGTTCATTTTTTCTTTTGAGGACCACTGGCGATACTCACCACGTTTGTACATTTTTTGAAATCATCCTTTACATTTTGCACCTCGATCGATGCTGCTACTATACCATGCTTTTCCTTTCTAGTTTTTCCCTGAGTATTCATGAGTGACTGACATTTTCATATTTTTGGAAAAAACTAAACTGGAAGTGACCTAAATACACTGGACGAAATACCCTAGATAATTCCCGGGGATTCATTCTAAATTCTAGCGAAGATTTATATTGGCAAATTTTTCAATTTCGCCAAATTAAAGCGGGCGCCAAATTAACCCAATCTACAGTACTTGAGAAGCTAACTACAGTGGGAGACATTAATAAACCTCAACCATCAAAAGTTGTCCCAATGAGATAAATCCTAAGTTTCATGTCTCAAACTATCCCAAGCGGTAGAAAAATAATTCCCATTCACTCTAAGTAGCACAATAAATGAATCCAATGCTTCATACCTGCAAATGATTGATAAATTCCTACCAAATCGAACAAATGTTTTCATGCCATGTTTGTGATCCAAGTGTTTAGCTCACAAAGGTGTTTTACTTACAGAAGTGTTTAGCTTACAAAGGTGTTTTACTTACAGAAGTGTTTAGCTTACAAAGTTATTTTACTTACAGAAGTATTTAGCTTACAAAGGTGTTTTACTTACGGAAGTGTTTAGCTTACAAAGGTGTTTTACTTCAGAAGTGTTTAGCTTACAAAGGTGTTTTACTTCAGAAGTGTTTAGCTCACAAAGGTGTTTTACTTACGGAAGTGTTTAGCTCACAAAGGTGTTTTACTTACAGAAGTGTTTAGCTCACAAAGATGTTTTACTTACAGAAGTATTTAACTTACAAAGGTGTTTTACTTACGGAAGTGTTTAGCTCACAAAGGTGTTTTACTTTCAGAAGTGTTTAGCTTACAAAGGTGTTTTACTTACAGAAGTATTTAGCTTACAAAGGTGTTTTACTTACGGAAGTGTTTAGGTTACAAAGGTGTTTTACTTACGGAAGTGTTTAGCTTACAAAGGTGTTTTACTTACAGAAGTATTTAGCTCACAAAGGTGTTTTACTTACAGAAGTGTTTAGCTCACAAAGGTGTTATACTTACGGGACTGTTTAGCTCACAAAGGTGTTTTACTTACAGAAGTGTTTAGCTCACAAAGGTGTTTCACTTACAGAAGTGTTTAGCTCACAAAGGTGTTTTACTTACAGAAGTATTTAGCTCACAAAGGTGTTTTACTTACAGAAGTGTTTAGCTTACAAAGGTGTTTTACTTACAGAAGTGTTTAGCTTACAAAGGTGTTTCACTTACAGAAGTGTTTAGCTCACAAAGGTGTTTTACTTACAGAAGTGTTTAGCACACAAAGGTGTTTTACTTACAGGAGTATTTAGCTTACAAAGGTGTTTTACTTACAGAAGTGTTTAGCTTACAAAGGTGTTTTACTTACGGAAGTGTTTAGCTCACAAAGGTGTTTTACTTACAGAAGTGTTTAGCTTACAAAGGTGTTTTACTTACAGAAGTGTTAAGCTTACAAAGGTGTTTTACTTACGGATGTGTTTAGCTTACAAAGGTGTTTTACTTACGGAAGTGTTTAGCTTACAAAGGTGTTTTACTTACGGAAGTGTTTTGCTTACAAAGGTGTTTTACTTATAGAAGTATTTAGCTTACAAAGGTGTTTTACTTACAGAAGTATTTAGCTTACAAAGGTGTTTTACTTACAAAAGTATTAAACTTACAAAGGTGTTGTACTTACAGAAGTATTTAGCTTACAAAGGTGTTTTACTTACAGAAGTATTTAGCTTTCAAATGTGTTTTACTTACGGAAGTGTTTAGCTTACAAAGGTGTTTTACTTACAGAAGTATTTAACTTACAAAGGTGTTTTACTTACAGAAGTGTTTAGCTTACAAAGGTGTTTTACTTACGGATGTGTTTAGCTTACAAAGGTGTTTTACTTACGGAAGTGTTTAGCTTACAAAGGTGTTTTACTTACGGAAGTGTTTTGCTTACAAAGGTGTTTTACTTATAGAAGTATTTAGCTTACAAAGGTGTTTTACTTACAAAAGTATTTAGCTTACAAAGGTGTTTTACTTACAGAAGTATTTAACTTACAAAGGTGTTTTACTTACAGAAGTATTTAGCTTACAAAGGTGTTTTACTTACAGAAGTATTTAGCTTTCAAATGTGTTTTACTTACGGAAGTGTTTAGCTTACAAAGGTGTTTTACTTACGGAAGTGTTTAGCTTACAAAGGTGTTTTACTTACAGAAGTGTTTAGCTTACAAAGGTGTTTTACTTACAGAAGTGTTTAGCTTACAAAGGTGTTTTACTTACAGAAGTGTTTAGCTTACAAAGGTGTTTTACTTACAGAAGTGTATAGGTTACAAAGGTGTTTTACTTACAGGAGTATTTAGCTTACAAAGGTGTTTTACTTATGGAAGTGTTTAGTTTATAAAGGTGTTTTACTTACGGAAGTGTTTAGCTCACAAAGGTGTTTTACTTACAGAAGTGTTTAGCTCACAAAGGTGTTTTACTTACAGAAGTATTTAGCTCACAAAGGTGTTTTACTTACGGGAGTATTTAGCTTACAAAGGTGTTTTACTTACGGTAGTGTTTAGCTTACAAAGGTGTTTTACTTACGGAAGTGTTTAGCTCACAAAGGTGTTTTACTTACGGAAGTGTTTAGCTCACAAAGGTGTTTTACTTACAGAAGTGTTTAGCTCACAAAGGTGTTTTACTTACAGAAGTGTTTAGCTTACAAAGGTGTTTTACTTACAGAAGTGTTTAGCTCACAAAGGTGTTTTACTTACAGAAGTGTTTAGCTTACAAAGGTGTTTTACTTACGGAAGTGTTTAGCTTACAAAGGTGTTTTACTTACGGAAGTGTTTAGCTCACAAAGGTGTTTTACTTACAGAAGTATTTAGCTTACAAAGGTGTTTTACTTACGGAAGTGTTTAGCTTACAAAGGTGTTTTACTTACGGAAGTGTTTAGCTCACAAAGGTGTTTTACTTACAGAAGTGTTTAGCTTACAAAGGTGTTTTACTTACAGAAGTGTTTAGCTTACAAAGGTGTTTTACTTACGGAAGTGTTTAGCTCACAAAGATGTTTTACTTACAGAAGTATTTAGCTTACAAAGGTGTTTTACTTACAGAAGTGTTTAGCTCACAAAGGTGTTTTACTTACGGATGTGTTTAGCTTACAAAGGTGTTTTACTTACAGAAGTGTTTAGCTTACAAAGCTGTTTTACTTACGGATGTGTTAAGGTTACAAAGGTGTTTTACTTACAGAAGTGTTTAGCTTACAAAGGTGTTTTACTTACAGAAGTATTTAGCTTTCAAATGTGTTTTACTTACGGAAGTGTTTAGCTTACAAAGGTGTTTTACTTACGGAAGTGTTTAGCTCACATAGGTGTTTTACTTACAGAAGTGTTTAGGTTACAAAGGTGTTTTACTTACGGAAGTATTTAGCTTACAAAGGTGTTTTACTTACAGAAGTATTTAGCTTTCAAATGTGTTTTACTTACGGAAGTGTTTAGCTCACAAAGGTGTTTTACTTACAGAAGTGTTTAGCTTACAAAGGTGTTTTACTTACAGAAGTATTTAACTTACAAAGGTGTTTTACTTACGGAAGTGTTTAGCCTACAAAGGTGTTTTACTTACGGAAGTGTTTAGCTTACAAAGGTGTTTTACTTACAGAAGTGTTTAGCTTACAAAGGTGTTTTACTTACAGAAGTATTTAGCTTACAAAGGTGTTTTACTTACGGAAGTGTTTAGCTCACAAAGGTGTTTTACTTACGGAAGTGTTTAGCTCACAAAGGTGTTTTACTTACAGAAGTGTTTAGCTTACAAAGGTGTTTTACTTACAGAAGTATTTAGCTTACAAAGGTGTTTTACTTCCAGAGGTGTTTATGTTCAAATGTATTTTGCTTAAAGACTGAGGTGTTTATTATGTTTCGATTGTTTTTCAAAAGAAGTTACCTACCTGAGAGTTCAAAGTGAAGCTTCTTTGAAACATTCCACAGTTTTACACACCCATCTCTTCCCTGGGAGACAACTGTGGCACAGGGCACCATTTCCCCTGCATAAGGTGCTGTCTTCCGCAGAACTGCTTGGGTTGGCTTTAGAGCGAGAACAGACAGTCCATTATGTGCATCTATTGTTGCACATATCCGATTCATTTCCAGATTCCATGCATTTATTCTCCCTACAAATTGAAACATTTTAATGGAGAATGTAAGTGTATTGTTTGCTACAGTCTAAAATTATTTGGGGGGTCTATTTAAGACAACACATTTTAGGACCCCCAATTCAATTCTAAGTTAATTGAATAATGGATTGGTAAACTAGCAGTTGAACTCAAGATGGTCTCAAGATGGCTGGATCTAATACTGTGAAGAATATTTCAAGAAAAGTAACTAAATGGATTCTTTTTCACTTCTAAGAATGTGATTAATATTTACATGTAATATACATTTGAAAATTAGTCTCTTGCTACTTTATTACTTTAACTACAAAGAAAAAGAATGAGCACATGGATGTTAATGTCAATTTGGTTGCTTGCAATTCTGTTTCTTTCATTACCTGAAGCCGTCCCCGAAATGAGAATTTCTTTCCCTTCGATATCACAGTATTTCAAACATGTAACATCAGAATCTGAGCCTCGTAGAATGGCAACAGGATCTGGTGGCGCAGCACTCATTTTAAGTCTTATAAGCTGATATGACTCATTCAACTTCAAACGTGTGCATCAACTGAAGCAAGAAAGAATTAATTCTTTAACTGGCTACTAACTTACATGGAAACATAATAGGCCCTAATGAATTGTCTGGAACAAAAAGTGTGTTCATAAAAAGGGAAATAGATTGCTTTTCAAATCAGTTGTTTTCATTTTTACTTTATTTCTAGAAATGAATTCAAATTCTCAAAGCTCCTATCATTTTAGGCAATATATTAGGCACATTTTCTGAAAATTCAAACTTCAAATAAATTCAAAAATCCACAAGTTTTTTACATTTTCTGTTTGGCCTAAAATTCTGGAAGCTACCCGAGACCTAAGGTCTTGAACCATCATCCTTGATTATTGTATGATGCTATGTTCTCCCAGACTAAAAAATGTGTGGCACTCACACCGCATGAATTTTGGCTGCACTATGCTGATTTATTTCAGGCCATGCATAAATTAACAGCGCCATTTGAGCATTTAAAAGCCTTTTAACTGAGATGACAGACCCCCTATTATTGCGCTCACTCGAAGTTGTATGTCAAATAAGATATTTCAATGCTTTGAAACCTGAAATATGCCTACATATTCTCTTTGGAATTTTGAATGAGGTATTTCAGTGCTTTGAAACATGAAATATGCTTCTATAGGCTCTGAAATTACTCAGAATCCACAAAATGATGTTCAACAATGTCTGAAGCATAGATATTCACAGTACTGTCAACCCCGAAATATTTTCTCGAGGGACAGATTTTTTAGACCCAGTGCCCAAAATTCGTGGGATTTTGCGGGACATCCACCTAAATTCACGGGATTTCGCGGAACATTTAAGGGATTTGCGTGATTGCGCTACTAGGCCAAATTTGGATCAAATCCGCAGGAGCATTCGAGGGATAAACACGCTAATTGCGGGACAGTTAACAGGGTAACCACAAAAGACTTCACAAAGGGACAGATTTTTTAGACAAAGTGCCCTAAATTTGCGGGGTTTCATGGGACATCCACCCTAAATTTGCGTGCGACATTCAAGGGATTTGCATGATTGAGAAAGTACTCAAATCAAACTTTCAGATACTGATTTATCAAATATATTGCACTTAACTTAAATAAACGTCAACACAATTTCACACAATACGCATAGAAATACTGTAATGACCCGAGGGCGCCCCAGGGGAATAACTAATTAACTAACGAACTAACGAGCATAGTGTAACAAGCCAGATAAAGAAACTGAATGAAAGTGTGCTAAATTCAATGCCCCGTGTGGGAATCGAACCTAGGACCCTTGGATCCAAAGTCTGATGCTCTACCGACTGAGCTAAAGAGGCTTAAGCCACTACAGCTGGACTGTAGTAGCAACTTGATATCAAGGGTCGTTACACTATCTCCCCCTTTGAAAGGACCACGCCCTCGTGGTCAGCCCTGCTTCCCTAGCAGTGACTACCATATACACACGGGCGCAAAGGATACAACCAATGCTCTGATCCCACATCTGACACCATTGTAATGACCCGAGGGCGCCCCAGGGGAATAACTAATTAACTAACGAACTAACGAGCATAGTGTAACAAGCCAGATAAAGAAACTGAATGAAAGTGTGCTAAATTCAATGCCCCGTGTGGGAATCGAACCTAGGACCCTTGGATCCAAAGTCTGATGCTCTACCGACTGAGCTAAAGAGGCTTAAGCCACTACAGCTGGACTGTAGTAGCAACTTGATATCAAGGGTCGTTACACTACTATTAAATTTATTATAATTTATCAAAAACAAAAACCATGCTTTAGGTGTGAGTACCGTAATCCAACACAAAATTCAAAAATTCTGAACAATACTATATTGCACGTATGGCGTTCGTGACCAACTATGAAGCGCTTACTCCCCATAGTGTTATCAAAATGTACCTATTCATATAGGGGTTCGATTTATCTACATCAAATTATAGGAAGTCAGGTTTCTTTTCGAGATATGCAAAAAATATAATTAACTTATGCGCTGTTTGCGAATTACCATGTTAATGGGCATGTTTAGCTATGTTCATTTTTTCCTTTGAGGACCACTGGCGATACTCACCACGTTTGTACATTTTTTGAAATCATCCTTTACATTTTGCACCTCGATCGATGCTGCTACTATACCATGCTTTTCCTTTCTAGTTTTTCCCCGAGTATTCATGAGTGACTGACATTTTCATATTTTTGGAAAAAACTAAACTGGAAGTGACCTAAATACACTGGACGAAATACCCTAGATAATTCCCGGGGATTCATTCTAAATTTTAGCGAAGATTTATATTGGCAAATTTTTCAATTTCGCCAAATTAAAGCGGGCGCCAAATTAACCCAATCTACAGTACTTGAGAAGCTAACTACAGTGGGAGACATTAATAAACCTGAACCATCAAAAGTTGTCCCAATGAGATAAATCCTAAGTTTCATGTCTCAAACTATCCCAAGCGGTAGAAAAATAATTCCCATTCACTCTAAGTAGCACAATAAATGAATCCAATGCTTCATACCTGCAAATGATTGATAAATTCCTACCAAATCGAACAAATGTTTTCATGCCATGTTTGTGATCCAAGGAGGATTGACTCCCAGAATGCAGTATCAGTTAACCTTATTTACTCGTTACAGGTTTCAAAATGGTGGAACGGCATTTTGAAAGCTGGCACGTGTCATGTTGCATTCTGGGAGCAAATCCTCCTTGCGGCGTAATTGGGCTCCAAAATCACCTCAACATTTGAAGAGTCAGCATTAACATGGATGGATGGATTAACATTAACGGGATGGAGAAAATAGAGCACTCAATTCACTGAGGTAAGAATTAATGACATATGTGACAGAATGTCTTTTTCATAGTGTTAGTAATTATTTATGTTCACCACTTTATGGTGTTATTTGGATCAAAATCACAGTTTCTTAAATTAACTATAGTCCATTTCACTGCTTCATTTCGTCAGTAGAACGGCAAAAATAAGAAATTGGGAGACCATTGTGCAATAATATATGGAAAAGTATATTCATAATGTACATGAATGACATTTGTATATCTTGGATTGCTTCTAGTTTGGCTTATAGAGTGTGTGGCCTCTTATATTTGGATGTTTCTCTGCCATGTTATTTTCAATAAGATTAACATGGCTGAAATTCTTCAAATTACAAGACGGCACAGGATTATTGCACAAAAAACTAAAAAATCTGAAATATACAAATGTCATTCATGTACATTATGAATATACTTTTCCATATATTATTGCACAACGGTCTCCCAATTTCTTATTTTTGCCGTTCTACTGACGAAATGAAGCAGTGAAATGGACTCTATATGCTCTTTCCAAAAGCAGTCTTCGATGATCTGATGCACTGGGAGTTTGGCAGCACTTTTCAAATTAGGAAAACTTTACATGTACTCCTCAAAAGTGCAAAAACTTAGCTAGCTTCTTATATCACAAGATAATCTAGTCCAACAACATAAGACCTAGCCTGAGCCTCGTTTCTTATCTGACATGTCTTATGGCCAGGGAAGAATGCCGTTATTGAGTTTAACAACGTTGAACGAAAGATAATCACAATATAGCCTAGGGCGGGGATTGCAACAATTAAGAAATTAGCAGAGGTAAAAGACGACATTTGCGGGACTTCGCGGGTCACGCGAATTAGCCTAATTTTGATCAAATTCATGGGATAATCCCGCCATTCGCAGGACACTTGACAGCTCTGTATTCAGTATACTATAAACACCACAAGTGCATAGTCGTGTGTGTTGAGCAAAAATTTTATTTAATTTTGAAATCAATTCGATTCAAGAGGTTCTATATTTCGTCTAGAAGTAGAAACTAGCTTATTCAAAATAAAAATGGAATAAAAATAGCCCGTGAGTGGGCGATAATAGAGTAAAATCCCTCCACAACGACATTTCAACACCAATGTTACGGCTATCAGGCTAGGACTAGCTTCATAAAATAAAATAAAAGATAAACCTTGTCATTAGTCACTCCATCTCTCGCTGAATAAAGTAATTTATGCTAAAACTATTATATTTATTTTTATTTTCTGTTTTTAAGTCTCGCATGTGTGGTGCTCTCGCGTGATTTTACGAGAATTGGTTGCCAAGAAAAAATCAACAGAAGTATTTTTAAAAATTTCAGTTTAATTTGATAAATTACTTGCAAAATGGATGATTTTCAATCTGCAGAAGAAGTGAGTTTTATATATTGTGATATGTTCTTGAAAAAGGCATTGTATTTTGTGGTTAAAACATTCGAATTTAATGTAAATATGAACTATAAATTTTACAAGGTCATAAAAATTGTGAACAAAATTCAGCAATTTATTTCTAGTCTACATTGCGGGATTTCCCACGTGCTGGGAGCAAAAACATTAATAATTTTATTTCTTCTTTCAGGCTGCTTTTGTGGTAGATGAAGTTAGCAATATTATCAAGGAGGTAAAGTAAAATTGATACTTATCGTACGTTCTTGTTGTAACCTACATGTTGAGTAGATCTATCGGGAGGTCGTCCTTCAGGGGGGATGGTGTAATGACCCTCAATGGCAAGACGCTACTACTGCTGTAGTGGCTAGCCATTTACTGAATCCGTAGAACGTTGGGCGAAGGCCTGAGCCTACGACGTTGGGCTTGAGAGTGGAAGGTCCTGGGTTCGGGTTTATGTAAAAAACTGGGTGACTAGGTAGCTGGGTGACCAGATACCTAATGTTCCTACCAGGGTTAGGAATTTGATTTTTTCATTTTATGCCTCAAAACGCCCAACTGACCTCTAACTCAATGTACCAGTCATGCAACCAATCAAGCAAACAACCAACCAACCAACTAATCTACAAATAAACCAACCGCCAAAATAAAGAAACATCGATATACTGTCCATCACTAAAGCAAAAAATCAAGCGTTATGTCTGTATGTCATGTTGGTATAGTCTCCAACTTTGTGGCCGGTGTTTGGCAGTCAGCTTTTGAAGTTCGGTATCTGTAACAAATGGCTTGTTGTGACATTTTGCGATTTAATGGCTTGTCATTTTTATTGCTATAATCATTTTGTTAAAAGTGATATTCCATGCCTAAATGGGAATGAGGTATACACTCAAATGTCTGTCTGCGCCGTTCCATCCAGATGAATATAACTAGCTTTTTTCCTTTTCAGTCAATTGAAAGTGCTATTGGAGGGAATGCATATCAACACAACAAAGTGAACCAGTGGACATCCAATGTTGTAGAACAATGTCTTAACCAGTTAACCAAATTAGGAAAACCTTTCAAATATATTGGTAAGTTTTTTTAAGTAAATAATGAATCAATAAAAAATGATGGTCAAAGCATAAAATTGAACAATGTTTTTTTATAAATACACATTTTGTTGATTGTGTAACTCACTTTGATGTCTAAATTAAATGCAAACTCCATCATTCAGTTCTATTTTTGCTATTTGTTTTTAGACTATCACTATGAATTGATGCTATCACTTTGATTTTGTCCCACCATCTCCTAAAGGAGATACTTTGTGACTCTTTGCTGCTCCCTTTTCAGGATTTGAAAGGAGAGTACACACCACATTATATAACAGCACACATTTGATTTCCAGTTTCAGTTGTTATGACACAGAAATGTGGAGCTGGTTTACATGTTGCAAGTTCTTGTTATTGGGATGCAAGCACTGATGGTAGATTTCACATTCTACAAAATATCTGCTGGCCTCATGTTTTTCTTCCATTTCATACACAAGAGTAAGTCATTCCCCCCTTCTAATATTTCCTATGTTGAAATATAGGCTACAGAATATAAGAGGGAGGGGTGACTTATTCCCCATGGTTTCATTGAACAATACTTCAGTTTAATTGTAGTTTAGGCCTAAAAAGAATGTATTGAATTATGAAAGGTCCAGAAAGGCCATGGACAAGAGGAAACATGTATCCTAAAATCATGGACCTCTATCCTACATTGATATAGGTCCATGTTAAAATATGGGGAAGAAAAACATGAGTGAACAATACCATAACTGTATAAGGGCTTGGAGACACTCGGAGGAATGCCATTTTATTATTGCTCTCCCTATAGATATAAATGTGCAAGCTTTGCACCCCCCTCCCTTGTGACGTGAAGTCAACTGAAGCAAAGTGGAATGTGTCACGCTGACAAAAAATACAAGCATATTTTCAACAATGGTTTGAAACTGTCATGGCTGTCTGACAAATGGCGATTGAGTGATTGCCAATGTGTTAAATTGTGGCAACCAAATTTTCAACCCATGAACCCTGTTTCCTACTGAAAATGATTTTATGCTTTTTTGTTGAATTATTCTGTTGACAGCTCACACATTGCATATAATATAGTAGATGTATGTTGTATACTGCCTTAAGCCAACCCAACTTCGACTATTAAAATGTATGAACTTTACTGAAAAGCATGTGAATTACATGTACATGTTTCTTAAATAGTGAATTCCCATGTTGTTAATACCCCTGAGCAGAAGTTTGGTTGGCAATGACAATACAGACACAAAATCCCATGTAGTGTAATGCTAATGCCCTCATGCTATTTTCCCATTATTTATTTCCTTTATTATGCTTACCCATACTTGAATGTATAGTAATCAATTGGAGATGGACTTATGTGCAACATCCTTTGTCCCATACTACTATATCCCTGGACTTATGTGCAACATCCTTTATTATGCGCAACATCCTTTGTCCCATACTATCCCTGGTCTTATGCGCAGCATCCTTTGTCCCATACTATCCCTGGACTTATGCGCAACATCCTTTGTCCCATACTATCCCTGGACTTATGCGCAACATCCTTTGTCCCATACTATCCCTGGACTTATGCGCAGCATCCTTTGTCCCATACTATCCCTGGACTTATGCGCAACATCATTTGTCCCATACTATCCCTGGACTTATGCGCAACATCCTTTGTCCCATACTATCCCTGGACTCATGCGCAGCATCCTTTGTCCCATACTATCCCTGGACTTATGCGCAGCATCCTTTGTCCCATACTATCCCTGGACTCATGCGCAGCATCCTTCGTCCCATACTATCCCTGGACTTATGCGCAGCATCCTTCGTCCCATACTATCCCTGGACTTATGCGCAACATCCTTTGTCCCATTCTATCCCTGGACTTATGCGCAACATCCTTTGTCCCATTCTATCCCTGGACTTATGCGCAACATCCTTTGTCCCATACTATCCTTGGACTTATGCGCAACATCCTTCGTCCCATACTATCCCTGGACTCATGCGCAGCATCCTTTGTCCCATACTATCCCTGGACTTATGCGCAACATCCTTTGTTCCATACTATCCCTGGACTTATGCGCAACATCCTTTGTCCCATGCTATCCCTGCATTATCAGTATTTATTTAAGTTTATTTAATGGTATATCTGCTTTATTTATGTAGTCACCTGTGTCATAATGCAGAAGAATGGGGCAGGGTTGCACACAGCTAGTTCTTGCTTCTGGGATAACACCACTGATGGTAAGTGCAAGTGTGCTGTGAATCGTTTTAATTTGACTCGGAGTATTTAATTTTGTACTCTCCGCTTTTTGGATATTGGTATTTGGTAACTGTTTCATTTGGGTTTTAGTGAAAATCCTCAACTTTATCAAGGTTGGCAATATAAATTGGTTATTGACAATATGCAACAAAAATGATTGAGAATTTTTGATATATTTCTAAATCTTCCCTAAGAAAACTGAATCAGAGTTATTTTTAATTATCATTTTACATTATATTATTTAACATTACATAATTTTCAATTATCATCTTAGACAATATACAATATAGTAAAATTAGTATAAAGTATTAGTATACCATTATTTGTTCAATTGAAAACTACTGACATGAAAGATAATTCAACAGTGATTGACACACTTAACATATTATATTATTGGCCTATAGTACCTAGAAAAATGGTTTATTTGGCATCTATGCCTGTAGCACTGCCAAGATAACAATGGTTTCAACTGAAAATTCATTGGAAATATACCTCTGTTTTTTTTTCCATTCCAGGAAGCTGCACTGTGAGGTGGGAGAACAAAACAATGTACTGCATTGTCAGTGTGTTTGGACTATCCATATAAGGACTTCTCTACCTAATAAGGACAAAATCACCCAATAAGGAGCTATCCAGTTGTGCAAACCATTTAACACTGGATAGCAGCTAAAACTAGCTAAAAAATAAAATAAGCTAATTTAAAAAAACATGGAAAATAGCAGATAACTGGAACGTCATGAAAGACTAGATTACATCTAGTCAGAATCATGATCACTGGAGAAATAAACATAATATAAAAAAAATCCGCTTGAACAAAAACTTGTATTTTGAAGTTTGAAAAATTGCAGGTGTTAATTGGTTTACTCAACTGGGCCTTGAATTGATATGGATGAAGTTTTAAGTATTAGACTTCAAAGCAGCTAAAGTTGTATATATTTATTGTATATCTGTGTATATTTTATTTGTTTGTACAATCAGGGACTTCATAGTAGTCTCTTTGAAAAAGCTCATAATATTATAAAATTTTAGTTCTAACTTTGCTCTGTATCTATTCTGTAATAATGCGTAAAGACTCCAGACCTACCTCTAGGTTGGGACTTATACCATGTGGGTGTTGCCAAAATACTACATATAGTTACTTACCATTGTGAGATGTTCTAATCAGGCTAAAAACATTTTTCCACATTTTAATTTTGAAGGTACTATCACTTTCTGGCACATGTATTTTGGAAAGCCCACTTTCACATTCCTTTACCTATATTGAATAAGTATTGTAGCAATTGTTAATAAAATATGCTTGAAATAAACGGTGTGTTATGTTGACTTTTATGTCCAAATATGGCCTTGACTTCAGTCAGATTTGAGTCCAGTCTATTTCAACTACAGATGAGTAACTACCCATTATTGTTTAAACTGAATGTACTGGGGTGTAAATGATTGATTTTTTGATTGACACATTTAACTAATTAAAGGCACCCTCTGATTCCAGACATCATCCCCTCTTTTCCCCCTTCCCTATCTGAATCAGCTAATCACAGGGGGAAGGAAGAAAACAGAGTGGAACATGGAGCATTTGGAGAATGATTTAAAAGTTAAGGCAATGTCAAGTGAGACAGTAGCATCCAGCCACAAGTCATTATTTACTCCCCACCCCCCTTCTCAATCTAACAGGATAGGAAAATACATAGAAAGGGATGGAAATTGCTGCCACATAATCATTATTGGAGTTTATCACTAGTCCCCTCCCCCCCCCATATGAGTACAATTAAAGCTACAATGATAAGGATGATAATAATAAGGGGGTTCGAGCTCCCCCCTCTCCTGGTGAAACTTTTTTTCAAAGTCCTGCAGTTTTTACATTTCTGAGCACTTCGTATAAAGTAAAGCCCCCTCCTGGAATTTGTTAAACCCCTTGGCAAATCCTGGCTATGGACCTGATGCAGATGAACTGGAGGTAATGTTTTAACAATTTTGCCACATCATTCCTCATCTCTCCTTTGCTAAAATGATTTTGGACTGGATACAGGATTGCAATACTATTTGTAAGGGTGGATCTCCCTATCCCGTGCCAGAATCTTTGTCCAAATGCTGTTTTTGAAAGAGTACCAAGTCTGATGATGATTACCGGGAAATTTGTTTTGTTCTTTTCGTTCAGTGACGTCATCGCCAAGGTGATGGTTTTATTTAAACATGGCGGCTCTTGGTGCCGGAAACTGGGAAAAAATACTAAATTTCGCTTGCTGATTTCGGTACACTTGAATATGCAATTTATTATGAAGGTATGTAAATCACTTTCTTGTTATTTGAAGACATTTTGTAAGTTGATGCTATTGTATGTATTGACGTTTCTGTTGGGTTTTCTTACCCTTAGGCCAGAGTGCACTTTCAATTTGGGATTTTTTTGCAATTTTGTAAAGTAAACCACTGAATATTCTAGTTATTCACACAAAACTATCAACCCTCAATTGATAGTCTAGCTACACTAATGCATCTTTTGTGCAAGAATGAAAGATGTAGATGATGTGTGGAATGATTTTATCTGAAAATAGCACATGGTCATGAAATTTCATCAAAGAGCACCCTGACATGTTAGACTGCTGACTCTCACTGTAGATCTTACATGTACACTACCTTTTGTGCTTGTATGAAAGCATGGTCATGAAATTTCATCAAACTACACACTGAAATAAAAGCAAAATTACACACTTGTATTGTTCAGTAGATACAGTTTATCGCATCCTACGACCCCTTTAGATTGTGGTCGTACGCGCGTATAATTGGTCAGTCAATGTTTTTACAAAGTTGGAGAAAATACTACGCATTGCACACCTAGATGACCTACCTCGATACATTCCTTAGTATTTTAGAATTCTTTTTAGTTTTTACATCGGAAATATATCAGCAATCGGAAGGGGAATTCCCCAGGGATTTCCCTTATGACTGGTGCATGCCGGGAACTGGATGGAGGAATTTGACGGTTGAAATAAGTTAAATATTACACGCAAATATTGCTATCAAAAACGAAAACCTCTTCGTTCTGCCGATAAACCCATACAATTGGCGATTCTACTACATAAAAAGAATTCTAAAATACTAAGGAATGTATCGAGGTAGGTCATTTAGGTGTGCAATGCGTAGTATTTTCTCCAACTTTGTAAAAACATTGACTGACCAATTATATGCGCGTACGGCCACAATCTAAAGGGGTCGTAGGATGCGATAAACTGTATCTACTGAACAATACAAGTGTGTAATTTTGCTTTTATTTCAGTGTGTAGTTTGATACAGTAGGTGGGTCCTGCACTGTAAAAGGGGACCAATCTCATAAAAACCATATATATCCAGTACAGGTGTAATGAAGGCATACCTGTATATTGGTATTGTGATCTAAACATTCTAAATATTGACCCCCCACACAAAAATCATTTCATAATCATTAGCTAATGATTATTGAATCCTTCAGGAATTAATCCGAAAACCTGAAGAATTTAAAAGCAATGTCTGATTAGTTTCTGAATAATTAACTGAATTGTTTCTGAATGATTAATAATCTGAATAGTTACTGAATAATTAAAGATTTGTTTCTGAATGATTAACTTGGAATTTTTTATTCCGAATTGTTACTGAGTGATTAACGATTTGTTTCTGAATGATTACCTGAAAGTCCATGATTTAGAATGAGAAACCCCACATTGGCAGACGTTAAAATTTGGTTAAGATGTGAGAGAGTTATTTGTCTAATAAAAGTGAGCATAAACAACCTGAAGGGTGGCTAGACTATCTTGAAACTTGATCAACATAATCATAAAGGTATGTAGAACATGTTTAGATTGAAATTTATTCATATTTATCTCTACTATTCTAATGAATTTGAATTCAAGATATTTTTTTTGAATTTGATCAATTTTGGGTTGTTCCCCATACATGATTAGGCACAAACACTCATTTTAGCCCTAGGTTTCTGAGCAGATAAATATAAATTAATTTGGAGTATATGTCACCTCTATATGAGCATGTATTAGTCAGAATAATACAAGACAGCTCCAGGAGAGGCAACAGGGTCTTGATAAAGAAGAAAATGAGTCAGATAACCTGAATAATTACTGAATAATTACCGATTTGTTTCTGAATAATTAACGGTTTCTTTCTGAATAATTACCGATTTGTTTCTGAATAATTATTGATTTGTTTCTGAATAATTAACTATTTGTTTCTGAATGATTACTGAATGATTACTGAATGATTAACGAAGAAAGAAATCAGTGTTTAATTAAATTCACAATCATTAGCTAATGATTACCCTGAATGATTATCTCATTTGCATGTCAAATTGCTATACTATTTGTTACCTATTTGTTTCATAATCATTAGCTAATGATTACCCTGAATATGTATGCTATTATTTTGACCTGGGCCTTGCCGATCATTTTCTAAGCATTCAATTTCATGTATTATTTCCTCTATTTGCAGGTTCTCTGATATACCATAAAATAGTTACCCATAGCCTAAAAGGAGACTGGAAAACTCCATAAGGCTATAAAGGAATGATGTTCTACACATAGTTAAGAAAATCTATATATCAAAGAAACCCTTGAAGGTGTCCCTCAGTAAAGCTGTAACCCACAACAAAGCAACATGAAAAGCCATAAAAAGAAGAGCAAACACCAGTACCCAAAACAAAACGTCATAAAGGTGATGGACAAAACTCCAGATAAAAACACACAACAGTTATGTCCACAAAATCTTTCAGAGCAGCAAGACTTATTTCTTAAATTTGGTATTGTGCCGAAATTTGAAATGAAACTATCGTCAGAAAGTCTTGAAAAGTTAATCAAGAAAAAACGTGGTGAGATACAGTTTGACTGTCTTGAGGACGCTATCCATATCCTTGAACATGTGAAGGAAAACTATGCAAACTCAGATGAACTTATTGATGAGATGTATGGCAATGTAATCAATGTAGCAGAAGCAACAAGGATTCTTGAGGCATATTTAAAGGAGAATGACCTAGATGGAGTCATGACAATATGTTTTGCTCAAGACCTACCTTGCAGGTACAGTAAAACACAAACAACATGATATACCAGCATCTGAGCTTATCCTTTTTGGCCAGTAACAAATGTGTCTTACTTGCTACAAAACAAGTAGCAAATTAGCTGACTATGTTCAGATTGCAAATTATTAAATTAAAAGCAAACATCCTTGATGTTAACAGACTGAATTTAATGATTCCCAGAATTCCAATATTTGTTATTTTACCTTAGATTACTGATAGACAAAATTATTGATGAAGATATATAAAATATGATTTGATTAATATCTGTCTCATAAACTGTATTGATTGAGGCGAGGGTTGAGGTGATGGTGAGCTTAGTTGAGGTGAGGCAATATTATACCATAATCAAGAAGCCACATCAATCAATCTATACATGTATTTTTATTTTATCATATCTTTGTAGTTTCCACATGTATGTAATTGTATGTTTCAGTGCAAGAATGGCCTGGCATGGACCAAACCAACGTTACAACAAACCAGAAGCAAGAAAATACAATTTCTGGATCAAGTCAAAAGAGAATATTTATCTCCGGGATCGTGGAATAAAATGTCTTGCCAACCATGAGATTGGGACACATTATACAAGGACTCTAAATGATGGCTTACAACCTTGGTTCTGTGATCGTAAAAAGTTTGGAATCAAAGGTCATAAATCACGAAGTTTAGTAGTGACCGAAGAAGGCCTTGCAATACTACACACTGTACTTCAAGCAAAAACCAAGTATTTATTTGGGCCTGCAGTTCTCTATTGTAAGTATAACTCCAAATGTTCATGGTTGATTTTCTGTGCAATGAGCAAATTTGATTTGGCTGTTTTTCTTAGCTTTAAACATTAAAGAACCCCCTGTAAATCCTTGATATACAGGGTGTTCAATAAGTATTGCTAATTTTGCTATAACTTTTGTTCTGTTTGCTTTTTCTTCATGAAACGTACACAACATAAGATACAAATATCTGACTTTATTCTATGAAAGTTTCAAGACAATCGAATCAGTATTAACAAAGTTATGGATATGCGGGGCAAATTTCTGACATCACTTTGGACGACATTTTGAGTGTTGAAAGCAGTATAATTTAATGCCCTAAGTTTAATTAGGGAGGTGTTCACTGCAGACATTAGCTGATTGAGATTCTGGTGCAACATTCCTCTCAGATCCCTTTTCACTGGGGCGAATACAACAAAATCAGGTGGGGCCTTATCTGGGAAATATGCTGCGTGGGGCAATGCTTCCATGCCAAGCTCTGTTATTGTATTTAGGAGAATAGAGGATCTGTGAGCAGGGGCCTTATCCTGGTGGACTGTATTTAGGTCGATATTGCTCTTTGACATGTTTGATGACATTGAAGTGTGTGGCTAGGGATGTGCAGTGTTTACTGTAGACATTCGCTGATTGAGATTCAAGTGCGATATTCCTCTCAGATCTCTTTTCATCGCTGTTAGATAATACATATAATTCAAACTGACAACATCAAGATTTGACCATAATCAACAGTTTTTATTCATCAAAGTGTTTATTTGATGTATAACAATAATTCATCATGTAAACCCTTAGGTTGCCCCGCGTATCCGTGACAATGGTTACCATAGTAACCATAACTTTGTCAATACTAAGTCAGTTGTCCAGAAATTTGGATTGAATAAGGTCAGATATGTGTTGCTTATGTTGTAAAAGTTTCATGAAGAAATATGCAAGATAACAAAAGTTATGACAAAATTAGCAATACTTATTGAACGCCCTGTATATGTCAAGTGGCTGATTCAGCATATTATTTCATTGTATTGAATTATTCAAAATATTTGTTAATGAGTCTCATGAATAAAGAAATGAACTTGGAATTGAATTGTTTCATAGAAAGTAAACACACATTTTTATTATAGACACAGCATGCATGGCTACAAAGATGAGTTTCAAGGAATTATTTGAGCACTTGGAGCAGTATGTTTCCTCACCAACACAAAGATGGCGCCATGTTATGCGGGTAAAGCGTTGTCTTGATGACCCAAATGACCTTGGGGGATATGGGGGAGATCAGTGTTATTTTCAAGGTACATTCTTGTCTCACTAAGTTATCCTCAAAAAGACAACAATTTTACGTCAGCTAGATGTTTGTCTTCCACTAATCAATTGTATCAAAAGTCATCTGTTAAATCAGTGTGCAGAGGGCATTTTAACTAGCCTAGACACTCCAAAATGAGAAACTTTTTTGTTGCATTTATTTTTTTCATCATCATATCAGAAGCTAAGGATCAATATGAACAACTTCATTTTCCTTTAAAAATTAGTTCTGTATTATTGAAATTAACTCCAGGTGCAGTAGAAATATTAAGGAATCTTGAGGACATCGACTTTAACTTATTGATGTGTGGAAAGATCTCATTGGATGAACTGCCAAGAGTTAAACGACTTGCTAGGATGGATTGTATACGAATACCCAAGTTCATGCGAGATATAGAGAAATACAAGCGAACTCTACGACATATAGGTGTCCTCAATGGTATACTTGAAAGACCAAAGAAGAGTCCAACTCCAATGAAACCTTTAAGCAGCTCAAAGTCTAAATCACGATCAAAACATTCATCAAAGCGAATGAAAAGTGGAAAGAAAAGTAAACCTAAGTTGAACTTAGAACTTTCTGATGATGGAAAATTTACAGAAATGCAATTTGTTTATCCGAATCGCTTTTTGGATTCTCCAATGTCATTGCAATCTAGTTTAGATGATTATAGCGATGTTAATGAGTATGTGCTGCCATCTAGTGGTCAAACTACTCCATCTTTACCTCAGGTTAAATGTGATTCTCATGACTTTGTATATCCTAGAAGCCCTACACTTCAGCATTCAATTGGTTCAAGATTTCAATCACGGCCCCTACTTTCTCGACCACAATCAACTCCAAATAAATTATTGCCATCAAATATTCACGATGAACCTTCCCAGGATTCAAGTGCATCTAATATCAATTCATTTGGACTCTTGAAAAGGCTATAAGCTTGCAATTTCTTTATTAAAATAGGTACTTTTTCATTATTAGGGGAATACAGTGAAATCAGTACAAATGACCACTTCTCTGGTGTAACATGTCTATGGCCCTAAAGATAATTTATTGTCTGTTTGAAGAGTGCCTAAAATTCTCCCAGTCAGACATTTTCCTTATCAATTTTCCAAAGTTAAGTGTGTTCATTTTATTTTGATATGTCTGCCTTTCTAGCAAACAAGTCTGTTAGAGCGGCTTTTTAAATAATATTTCAAATTAAACAAAACTTCAACATATATAGACCTGAAGTGATCACTTTTCATTTCTCAATTTGGATTTCAAAGTGATGGAAGTGTTGTTTATATTTTTCACCATCTCCAACACTAAATAAGCTCACTCTAAAATGGAGACTAAGTTGTTTTTACTGTATGCCATTTTCATGTGAGAGGTACCATTCTTAAAATATGAAACTAGTGCAATTTCCATAGTTTTAGTTTAAATCTGATCATGTTTAATGAACAGCAAATGACAGGCAATAAAAAACATTCTACCATTTCGATAAGGTTTAAGATCATGCCAAAATATTGTTGTAATGGACACATGGTCACAAGTGTTATACATGTACATTGCCAATTTCACATTTATGAAGTCATAGACATATGGCAGATTTAACATGAGATCATTCTGGGAATGTATATTAGCCCAAGGGACAGGATTCTCTTGTATGCTTCAATTCATCAGGTTAATTAGAAAAATTAGAATATAAATCCAAAATGATTTTAATGAACTTTCAATATTGTAAACTCTGATAAGGGTTGAAATACTGCTGAAATGTAATATCAAATATATGCATTTAGAGAATTATATTTTTTGCCATTTTATTTATTCTATAATACATATGTTATACCATATGTTATACCATGGTATAACCCATGACATGTATGTAACTCATGACATATTAAAATAATAACAAAATATTTACAGTACAAGTATATTTGTAGAATTGCGTTGATTGTTCATTGACAAAAGAGTACATCACTGTTATCAGTGGCGTAGCGTGGGTATTTTGTGAGTGCATGCCATAAGTGAGTGAAGTGAGCTTTGAGGAGGATTTGGGGATGGGGGGGGGTTCTTCCCAAAGAAACTTTGAAAATGAGATTGGATTTGAAGAATTTTAATGTGTTTTAATGTGGACTAATATTAAATTAACCTAATGAAACCATTTTTAAATTATGGCATGACAGAAAAGATGCTTCTTGGAAATAAAACTCATTTGCATTCATCATTTTATTGTCATTACCATCCCCACTATACATATTCAGAATATCCAGTATCTTTAAAGTGTTTGGGCAATTCAATATGAAAAATCAACTTTTCTCTAAATTTTGAGAGTACATCATGGTATATGACGCTACACCATTGGTTATATCATCAAGCAAATAAGGTTAGGCAATTTTTGAAATATGTACAGTGTACAACATCTACCTGACTGTAGACTTCATATGTTTTTTATGAATACTTTTTAAATAAATACTCTATAGTGAACAACTGCAGTGATTTGTTTCAATTACCAGATGATATGTTAATGAAGCAAAAGATGATACTGTACATTGGGTTAATTTGGCACCCACTTTCATTTGGCGAAATAGAAAAGACCACCAATTTACATCTTCGCAAAAATTTAGAAAGGATCCCTGGAATTTTTCCAAATTTTTTTCTCTAAAAAATCACTATCCTTAAAATAGATATTTTTTCTTTGACATGACTCTTCATTCATGTGGTCCCCTAACTGTGAAAATCTATTCATTAGAATCTGAATATTTAAATGGTCCTTCACCAGTATGTATCTTAATGTGATTAAAACTCAACATCCGGTAAAGGAATTTACTATTGTCACAAGTGTGGCATTTAAATGGTCTTTCTTCAGTGTGAGTTCTGATATGATTTTTCAAACCTGAACAATTGGTAAAACATTTATGAAAATCGGTTTTCTCCAAAGTTAGTCCTTGTGTGTCTCCTTAAATGTGAAGAACTTAAATATCTAAGACAATCCTGAAACTTGAAGGGAATCTCTCCAAAGTATATCATTAGGTGTATCTTTAAATTATAAGATTGAATAAAACGTTTATCATAATGCTGACATTTAAATGGTCTTTCGCAAGTATGTGTCATTATGAGTCTCTTCAAACAAGCATTCTTGTGCAATCTTGACACTTGAATGGTTTTTCTCTCGTTTGACTTTGAAAATCAAATCAAAAGGTGTCCTAAACCATTCGCCATGTTATATGTTTTTCACTCATATTTACTACATGTCAGTGTCATTCTGTTCATTTGGTTGTTTTGGTTCTACAGCAAATACTAGTACAGCATTTTCTACCTGGCTGTCCATTTCTCCTAAATCTTTTTGTTTAACATTTGAATCTGTTGATCTGTCTTTTTTTACATGCCTCCTAATGTGAACCTTTAAACTTGACGCTCTGGTATAATATTTACCACAATCTTTACATTTAAAAGGTGTTTCTGCTTCGTGAGTTCTGATATGATTTTTCAAACCTGCGAAATTGGTAAAACATTTACCACAATGTTTACATTTAAATGGTTTTTCTCCAGTGTGAATTCTTAGGTGGCATTTTAAATTCCAAGACCTGCTAAAGGATTTATCACAATGCTGACATTTAAATTGCTCTTCACCAGTATGTATCATTGTGTGTCTCTTCAAATAGGCAGAGCTGCTGAAGCATTTATTACAATCCTGACACTTGAATGAGTTTTCTCTAATATGAATTTGTATGTGCCTATTGAAATCCTGAAGTGCCCTAAACCATTTACCACAGTCCTTACATTCAAATGTTTTTTCTCCAGTGTGAATTTTGAGGTGGCATTTTAAATTCCAAGACCTGCTAAAGCATTTATCACAATGGTGACATTTAAATGGTCTGTCACCAGTATGTGTCATTCTGTGTCTTTTCAAATCGGCAGAGCTGCTGTAGCATTTTTTACAATCCTGACACTTGAATGGTCTTTCTCCAGTATGCATCATTTTGTGTCTCTTCAAATCAGCAGCGCTGCTGTAGCGTTTATTACAATCCTGACATTTGTATGATTTTCCTCTTATGTGAGTTTGTATGTGCCTCTTAAAATCAAGAAGAGTGTTAAACCATTTACCACAGTCCTTACATTTTAATGTTTTGTTTTGTTCATTTAATTGTTTAGGTTCTACAGCAAATACAGAATTTCCAACTTGGCTGTCCATTTGTCCTAAATCTTCATGTTTAATATTTGAAAGTGTTGGTTGATTATCAGTTAAGTTCCCAAAAGAGACCATGGAACTTGAATTTTCAACATATTTTGATTTATTGCAATCGAGATGGATTTGTTCACCATCCATGTTATTATGGATTTGTTCTGGTTGATCAAGCCATACGTGTTCTTGTGCCGTTTCTTTTTTTATTCCAACAGGTTCTTGCTTGACAATTTGTTGATTTAGGACTGACGCTTGAGATATGTTGTTTTGGATAAGGGCCTTTTCATCATCTTTCAAATCTGAAGAAACTGATACATGAATCCCTCTTATATTCTTCTCACAATCCCGACTTATTCCAGTGTGGACTCTCATGTGACTTTTTAAACTTGAAGAGGTATAAAAGTGTTTATTACAATAAGGACATTTGAAAGATCTTTCTACATTGTGAACTCTAACATGTTTCTCCAGATCATAAATTCTAACAAAACATTTCTCACAATTCTGGCATTTAAATGGTCTTTCTCCAGTATGTATCTTAGTGTGGTCCTTCAATTTTGAAAGCGTCATAAAGCATTCATCACAAGTCTGGCATTTAAATGGTTTTACTCCGTTATGAGTTTTAAAGTGTTTCTTTAAATTTCCAGAGGAAACAAAGCATTTATCACATATATGACATTTGAACGGCTTTTCTCCAGTATGTATTCTCATGTGAAATTCTAACTCAGAATATTGAATGAAGCATTTATTGCAATCCTTACATTTAAATGGTTTTTCTCCTGTATGACTCATATTGTGCCTTTTCAAAGAAAAAGAATCCCTATAGCATTTTTCACAAGTTTTACACTTAAAAGGTTTTTCTCCAGTGTGAGTCCTCATGTGTTCAACTAAATGTGCTTTGCGAAAAAAAGCATTTATCACAATGGTGACATTTAAATGGTCTTTCACCAGTATGCATCATTCTGTGTCTGTGAGTTTGTATGTGCCTATTCAAATCAAGAAGGGTGCTAAACCATTTACCGCATTCCTTACATTCATATGTTTTTTCCATAATATTTCCTCTGTCAGTGTCAATCTGTTTATTTTGTTGTTTAGGTTCTACAGCAAATACAGAATTTCCAACTTGGCAGTCCATTTGTCCTAAATCTTCTTGTTTAATATTTGAATGTGTTGGTTCATTATCAGTTAAGTTCCCTAAAGAGGTCATGATTTCAAAATTGTTTGATTTATTGCAATCAGAATGGATTTGTTCACCATTCATGTTATTATAGGATTGTTCTGCCTGATCAAGACATGGTTGCTCTTGTGCTGCTTCTGCTTTTATTTCAACAGGTTCTTTCTTCACAATTTGTTGATTTAGAATTGACACTTGGTGTCCAGATTCTTCATTATTTTCAGTTTCTTGTTTAAGATCCATTTGTTCTCTGATGGTAAACATATTAAGTCTTGTTATAAAATTAGTGTCATTATAACTGTTTGGTTGCGATTATATTGAAGTGTCACCTGGCTAGAAGGATATACATGTACTTGCAATTGCTGTACTTAAATTGTGTCATTATGCCTCCTCGCCGTGGGGGTTACACATCCTCCTTGTAGGGATAACGCATTCTCATTGAAGAGGTAACACATTCTCATTGTATGGGTTACACATCCTAATTGTCGGGGTCACACATCCTCATTGTGGGGGTAACACATTCTCATTGTAGAGGTAACACATTCTCATTGTAGGGGTCACACATCCTTATTGTGGGGGTCACACATTCTAAACAATACTTTATGCTTCTTGCATCTGCTTGCTTTATCAATAGAGATTCACATCTGAAATTACAAAAACGAGGCATTATCAGTGGTTGGTTAGCTGGTGTAGTTGTGTTAGTGCTTCTCTTGAGAGCAAGACTAGAGGTCCTTGGTTTAATCCCAGTTCCCAGTGCTTCTTATGGATAATTGTGCCTGTGCTAATGTACTGCTGATGTAGACAATACAAGAGTGATGCCAACTCTAGAAAAGGCCAGAGATGACTATGAGCCTTGTCAGGTTAAAGTAGTTCCATATGTTCAGAAATTGTAATGGCTTCCTATACTCATTGGAGCCCCATGTTATTTTCAGGTACGCATCCCTCATCCCATTACATGGTCTACATGTTTCAGTTTTGCATAAAGAGTATGTTTATCTTCCTAGATTATTAGCTGCGAGGGGTTAAAAGTTTCTACGGTGTATGAAAATACATACTGAATATCTAGAATATTTATCCTTACTGTAAAATTGCACACATATTAATTACCATTTTGAAATAAACTTAAATTAGATATAGTCTTAACTCAATATTATACAGTGCGTATCAAAAAAACGCAACAGATTGTTATCTCGGAAAAGCACAGAACCAGTGATAACAGCATTGATTTCATTCAATGCACCATGAAGCCATGTGTCTCCTCTTTACAATGATATATCATTCATTGATATTTGGTCATGGTTGGGCGAGTAATCATTCCATTTGCCAAGTAGGCCAAAATTAGCTTTTGACCAAGTTATAAACATCGCAAAAGTCAGTGTTAGGAGCCCGATGCAAAATTGGAAGAAAACATAAAACCAATGCTGACTGCATTATTTTCATTCAATGTACCAAAAAGCCAAATTACTCCTCTTTGCAATGGAATATCATTCATTCACAGAGAGTCATGGCTGGCCGAATAATCATTAATTTTGCAAAGTGGGGCAAAATTCAGCTCGGACCCAAGTTTTAAACATTGCAAAAGTCAGTACAAGGGCCATAGGGGCTATTGGAAGAAGGTGTGACAGGTGTGGCATAGACAGTTAAGTGTTCATACTCATACTCTTGCAAGAATACATCCTATACCCCTCCAAATTGCCACCACTTCCTTGCACATAAAGATGCGCTCATCTGTCCACGTCATGCATGGTTCAGCCCTGAGTCAGCTGTGGGTTAAAGCAGAGAAAAGCAGCCCATGGGCAATTCTTTCTCGAGGTTTTTCAATATCTGGTGGAGGAATTGTGAATTTTGACCCACTGTGCAAATGGAAGGATTTCTCACCCAACTATTACCACATGTGAATGAATGACATATCATTGCAAAGAGGAGAGACGTGGCTTTATGGTACATCAAATGAAATTCATGTAGTCATCACTAGTTTTGGAATTTTATGAGATAACTACTTAGATAACTATACGCCCTGTATACACTGGCAGATCAGCATCCTCTCCTAGGATGGGTACAAAAACAAATTGGCCAAAGAAAGGATGTGTCTGGGTATATGCCCTTTTGGTCCCTCAGTCAAATGTATGTGAAATATGGTTTTTATTACTGTCCTAGTTATATTTAATAAGTATATTTACTTTTTCACGAATTTTGATGCATAATTAACCCCCTGCTGAGAGTCAGAATAAGTATCTTAACAAAAAAAAATAGTCATTATCATAGAAAAAAACACCAATGGCAACATGTATGACATACAAAGAAGAAATAACTTAAGACCGATGAAGAATTAAAAAGAAAATCATATTTTTGAAATATATTTAAGGATTAAATTTTTTTTCAAATTTTTGAATTTCCCGCCAGTTTAATTTGAAGGGGGAAAAACAAAATGGTTGCCATTTGTTGTAAGAAATATCAGGAAAAAAGTTGCTTCACTTTTAGTTTTCACAATGAGCACAGTTTTCCGGTTTAGGTTTTTTGACTGATTCTGACTCTTCATCACCAGGGTCATGTATAGAGATTATAAAATTGAAACCAAAATGTTGTGCTCAGCATGAATTTGACTGAAATATGGGTAACATCACCAACACAATTGAAGTCTCAAAAGTGGATGCTCAGTAACTTTGAGTGACTATAATCCCTTGATTACCCAGATAAACACCAATTCACTTATCCAGATATACCATTCAATGTCTATTCAAAGAAAGTAACCAGTGTTTTGGAAGATATGTTTCAAACTTTTTGCATAAATAATTCATTTAATATTTGCCATTGATTTTTTTTCAATTCTGACAAAGTGATATGCACTGTCTTTGATGCCAATATTCTTCATCAATTGTGATACAAATTGATATATTTGTAATCTCAGAAGAAGGATAAGATATTAAAGTTTAATAATATGTGGGATTGAGTTGGTTTTTCAGACATTACAATTTTCAATATTTTCTAAGTCGATACCCAGACTCATTCCCAGACTCATCCTTTCATGGCCCCAAATTAGTGAGTCTTATCATCAATATAGGTCTTAAATTTTCAAAAATTTGGCCCATTTTTGTTATTAAGGGCCCAAAAATTTCATTTTTTAGACTTGAAATATGCGCCCCCTTGTTGGTTTTCAGATCAGCCCCTAGTCTAATAGTTATTATTTTTCAATTAACATCATTAATCAGGGCTTATTTCTGATTTTTCAGATTGTAGGCTACAAAAATTCTGGCTGTCTGATTTCAGCCAGTAGGATGTATGACTTATAATTGGAAATATTCTTTAATAGTACTGAAATGCTGAATGGTGTAATTTAGATAATTACTCATTGCCGTTAATCCCTCAAAGACAGAGAGATATTATTTCATTAATAAAACACTCATCAACAATACAATAGTTTTAATCAGTCTATATATAACGTAGGTGTAGCTACATAATTTATTTGCATCTTATACACATGCACTAGTTACAGTTTCAGAATGTCAAATAGTATGATAAGATTATAAAATTATGTTAGATATATTGATTACATCCTCCGTATGCAGGGCTTCAAAACCAAGAATATCTTTTTTCAAGAAGGAGGTATGGATTTTGGACAACTGCTTAGGAGGATGATTGATGACAGATAAATATTTACAAAATATATTTATAAATATTTTTATTTTTTTATTTATTTTTTTTTTTATTTATTTATTTGGAAAACGCTTTTAGAGCAGCGGCACTCAATCGGTGCATCCAATACATCATATATAAAATATAAATGGGATAAAACATATCATGTAAAAAAACACTAAAAACATGCATACGACTATTGTGTGCACTGTACATGTATTTTCTTTAAAAACAATTTGACATATTTGTCAAACTTCACGTAATTATCATGTCCCCACAAGATCAAAGTGTCATCTCCCAGAGCCCAACATGTTTTTAGTTGTACACTTCCTGCTAGAAAGTCAGAGGAGAGTTGGTGGTTGCAGTTTGACACAACATTATTGAAAAATACATTCCTATCACTACCAAAGTACGGACAGACAAAAAGTCTATGCTGTATAGTATCTTTAACATTGAGGTTACAAAAGAGACATATACCGTTGCCTTGACCCCATCTTTGAAGGTCGGAGCGAAGGCCAAAACATCCTGTTCTGGCCATGAATTTAAGTTTCTGACCATAGAAATCAAAGTCTGAGTTCATATAATTTTCCTTAGAGAGATTACTTTTCAAACATTTGTAAAGATTTAGGGATGACTTCTCCCCTATTGAGGAGAAGAAAGCTACATGGCTTAAATCATTTGAGATCTGGATGTATGTTTTATACCAGTTATCATCCTGCCTTTGAAGGATGCCATCCAGACCATGTTTTATCAGGATCTCCTGAATATTGGCAAAATAGGGGAAAGCCTTACCTTCCTGACCATTTATGTATTTATTGTACATTGTGTTGAAGATAGCTTTGTGAACTGACCCTTCTTTAATAGAGTGCTTTAAATATAAAAAATAATCGATTTGGCGTTTTTCAATGACATCTAGAATAGGTCTTAATCCTAAATCTCCTAACAATGCCTCTCTTGCAGGGCGGCATCTAAGCTGGAGATTCTTGTAAAATGTTAGGGTCAGCAGTTTTAGCTCTATTCCAATATCTAAAGAATCTGCAATACATGTTTATATATTTCATAATTATGATAACAAATAGAAAAAAAATAAAGGACCAACGACCCTGTGCTCAAACAGTATATTGTAACCACATTATGTTTGGAAATGATTTACTTTGTACAGAAAAACTATTTTTGTCCAAATTACATGAGTTAGTTACTAAGTCGTTAAGCTACTCAGACTTAGACAGGTCCTGGGTGATTGAATTAGTTACTCAGTTACCTAGTTACTTTAGAGCAATTTTCAATCACAAAACCTGCCATTTAGACTAATTGACATAATACATGAGAAAATTCCCTGAAAATGTTAAATTAAACACCGAAAACTGTAATTCCAAGAGCTTTTTCAAGGAAGTCCAGAATTGATCAAGCTTTCACATGATACATAACTTTTTTTCATAGGATATATTTCACATTCCATATTATACATTACATAAGCACTTGTGCTGGCTTTGCTATAGGCATTATCAGCCATATAAAACATCTAGGTATGCTATCTAAGATTGTAAATATAGCCTGCCCTATCACTTCCAATAGTTCGATTTTTCTTCTTTATTAGAAAACATTTAAGGGCTCTGGCTTGCAAAACCATGACAAGGCATTAACATGACAAAATGTCACCACCTAAAACAATTTGGTCAATTTAAAGCAAGTTGGAAAATAGCTTTTGACCTTGAGAAGGTCATTGAAGGTCAAAGGTCAAATCTAAAGTCAGATTTGAACTTCTGAGAACTTGTAAAGTCAAATTTGAACTTTTGAAAAGATGTAGATGATTTTGAAAAAAAATTTGGTCAATTTGAAGCAAGTTGAAAACAGACCTTTTTGACCTTGAGAAGGTCATTAAAGGTCAAATGTCAAATCTAAAGTCAGATTTGAATTTCTGAGAACATGTAGATGATTTTGAAAAAAAAATTAGTCAATTTGAAGCAAGTTGAAAAAGACCTTTTTGACCTTTTTTGACCTTGAGAAGGTCATTGAAGGTCAAATGTCAAATCTAAAGTCATATTTGAATTTCTGAGAACATGTAGATGATTTTGAAAAAAAAATTTAGTCAATTTGAAGCAAGATGAAAAAATACCTTTTTGACCCTTTTTGACATTGAGAAGGTCATTGAAGGTCAAATCTAAAGTCAGATTTGAATTTCTGAGAACATGTAGATGATTTTGAAAAAAGAATTTAGTCAATTTGAAGCAAGTTGAAAAAAGACCTTTTTGACCTTTTTGACTTTGAGAAGGTCATTGAAGGTAAAATGTCAAATCTAAAGTCAGATTTGAATTTCTGAGAACATGTAGATGATTTTGAAAAAAAAATTTAGTCAATTTGAAGCAAGTTGAAAAAAGACCTTTTAGACCTTTTTTGACTTTGAGAAGGTCATTGAAGGTCAAATGTCAAATCTTAAGTCAAATCTAAAGTCAGATTTGAATTTCTGAGAACACGTAGATGATTTTGAAAATTTTTTTTAGTCAATTTGAAGCAAGTTGAAAACAGACCTTTTTGACCTTTTTTGACCTTGAGAAGGTCAAATGTCAAATCTTAAGTCAGATTTGAATTTCTGAGAACACATAGATGATTTTGAAAAAAAAATTTAGTCAATTTGAAGCAAGTTGAAAACAGACCTTTTTGACCTTTTTTGACCTTGAGAAGGTCATTGAAGGTCAAATGTCAAATCTAAAGTCAGATTTGAAGGTCAAATGTCAATTCTAAGGTCAAATCTAAAGTCAGATTTGAATTTCTGAGAACATGTAGATGATTTTGAAAAGAAATTTAGTCAATGTGAAGCAAGTTGAAAAAAGACCTTTTTGACCTTGAGAAGGTCATTGAAGGTCAAATGTCAAATCTAAAGTCAGATTTGAACTTCTGAGAACATGTAGATAATTTAGAAAAAAATTGAAGTCAGTCTAAACAGTATTTGTTAAGTTATAGGAAGTTGTAAGAAATTGTTACAGACGCCGGACGCCAACCTCCAACCACCAACCGCCAACCACCAACCGCCGTCGCAAAAAAACGGAGACCATAACAATATGTCACCACTTTTGGTGGTGACATAATAAATTCTGACAATATCTGGGACATTTAATACAGTGAAACCTGTAAAATGGAACATCTCTAAAAGTGGAAGACCTCCGTTAGTGGAACACTTTGCAGACTACCAAGACCAACTACCAAGACTTAATGTTAAATGAACCTCTATAAGTGGACCACCTCCCAAATGGAACACTTTTTAGAGATACCAAAGGTGTTCTACCTAGACAGGTTTTACTGTATGCTTTTTTAAGTGTTTTTTCAGGTAACATGAATGAGAAAAACATTTTTCACATTCATAACATTTGAACGGTTTCGTGTGAGTTTGTAAGTGGCTTTTCAAGGTACTGGATCGACCAAAACATTTATCACAATGCTGGCACTTAAATGGTCTTTCTCCAGTGTGTATCCTAATGTGTTCTTTCAAATACCTATTGTCACTAAAATATTTTTCACAATGTGGACACTGATAAGGTTTTTCCCCAGTGTGAGTTCTAGTGTGTAACTTTAATTTGGATGGGTGAATGAAGCATTTACCACACACTTCGCACTTGAATGGTTTTATACCAGTGTGGGTTCGCATATGTATCTGAATTCCAGATATTTGACTGCAACATTTGTCACACATTGGGCATTTAAAAGGTTTTTCTCCAGTATGAATTCTCATGTGTATTTTTAATCTAGTAGCAGAAATAAAGCCTTTATCACAATGCTGACATTTATATGGTTTTTCTCCAGTGTGACTCATTATGTGAAATTTCAAATCCCTCCAGGTTCTATAATCTTTTGTACAATCCTGACACTTGAATGGTCTTTCGTCAGTCTGGGTTTTGATTTGTGTTTTTAGAGTTTTTGGGTGAGAATCAGAACTTTGATCTGAATCAGAACCTTGAGAAGACTTTTTGTCACAATGGCTAATAGTATGTCTATTCAAACTATTAGATGTGCTAAAGCATTTATTACAATCCTGACATTTAAAACGTTTTTCTCCAGTGTGTGTTATGGAATGTTTATTTAATTGAAAAGATGTAATGAAACATTTATCACACTCCTGACACTTGAATGGTTTTGGTCTTTGGTTTTTGAAATTCAAATGGATTTCTAAGTGCTTATTCAATTCAATCAGCGTCCCAAACAATTCATTGCATTCCTTACAATTAAATGATTTTCCATTGGAGTCCGGTATGTCAGTGTCATTCTGTCCTGATGTTACTGCAAAAACAGAATTCACAACTATATCATCCTCTTGTTCAAAATGTTCTTGATTGATAGTCGATTGATCGTTAGCTGAAATATCCTTAACCGCATAGTCTTGTTGATATTCTTCTTCATAATAATTACCTTCTGTTTTAATTTCTACAGGTTCTTGTTTAACAATTAGTAGTAGTTTTGGAGTTGACATATCAGTCCCATTTTCTTGCTTTATGGAATCCATTGTGTTAATGTTGACTGTCTGTAGAATTACATTTTAATTGTCATATAGTGGTTGGTGAAGTATATTGTTGTTATCTCACTGTCATCTAATCCGTACCTGAAAATACACAAAATTATCATCTAAGGAGATGGGTTAATACCTCAATGTTCATCACTTTTGGCAATGAATATCGCAATGTATATCAAATTCTATTCTCTGTTGAGTGATCAATTACCATTGAAACCCAAAGAAACTAAAAATCAAAAGTCTTCACCTAATTAAATAGCATTTTACCCCTCCCCCTAATGAAATTAATTACATTTTCTGATGAACATTAAAATATGGACCTGGCCCCTAATGATGATGTAAAACCATTTTTTCATTTATTTATGATTGGTAGGGTCACTTTCATATCATTTTCTTTGAAAAAGATGGAGAAGACACAGTGAACAAGCAACAGTGACAACTTAAAACATGAGAGAAAAGACAGCTCAAACTCAATTTTTCAAGGAAGAAGCTGTTGCAGTATCTGTCGATACAAGTTCCTTTGTCTTTTTAAGCTAAAACTGCATAATGAGTTACAACTTACTTATAATTAATCCAGGGTTCTTAATTCACAGCTGCCTGACTGATAATGCTAATGCAAGTCTTGACAATAAACTTGTAAAAACTAGTTATATTACTGTACTATTAGAGGGCAACTGGGCAATGGATGAAGGCCAATATGATAATTGTGGCAATCACGTCTTCAACCTTAGTTTAGTTCCCGGCCCTGGATTAATTACTATCACTCATTATTCATGATTACCATTACAAATATAACAAGATGGCTAACCAAAAGTTAGAATTACTATTGAAAATGGCGCTGGAGTATCATACTCCAAAATATACCATTTCTTTTAAAAATAATTTTTTATTTTTTATACAAAAATTAAACAAGACCCAATACATCAATGTATCATTAATACCTTCAGAGTTATGCTAAAAACATGTAAATATTATAGTGTCACTATATCGTGCCATTAAAAAGTTCAAAAAGAAATGGTACATTTTAGAGTATGATACTCTGGCGCCGTTTGTAATAGCTTTTACTCCTAGCGTTATTGGGCTTCAAACTGATCTGCAAATGATATATCTATTGCATGGAGTAAGTAATTTTCTTTGATATAACGAAGTAGTAGCTACAAGTAGGAATAAAAGAGAATGCCCCCAAGCAGACCGAAAGGCGGGGGAGGATGATCTGCACATGACGGATGAAAATGATAATGACCAAAGCAACGACATATGGATTACGAATAGGACTCAAAATGATGACATCGACGCAATAGAGACGAGAAGACGTTGCGGAGGCACTTTTAAGAATGAAAGAGGAGTAAAGATCCACCAAGGAAAGACTCGGTGCAAGGAGAAGCTAAAACAGCCTTTCTTGTGGAAGGAAATGGAAGGCGCAGGAGGCTGTAGCCACAGCTAACGAACGCTTAAGGCACCAGCATATTGTTGGGACTGTGTGCAAAGGAAGGTTGGGACTAGGCCATTACGGTCCTCAACAACTTACGGAAAAGACAAAAAGGGCGAAGATCACCAGAGAAATTCGGAACCAGGAAGAAGAAGACCGACTGGTGAACGCAGTGGGCTTAGCCAAGCAAGGAGACTGGACCAACTGGGAACCAGCACTAAAACGATCCTTAAAGTGGAAGGATCTTTGGCCCATGGACCAAGGAAGACTCAGTTTCTTGCTGAGAGCTTTTTCGAAGTAGACTCTGAAGTAGGCTGTAGAGGTTTTCCAGCTTCCTCGCTTCGCTATTTCTTTTCTCAAATAGGATTGCCACCAACGCAGCTTAAGTCAGCAATCAAAGCAGTTGGTATGGTAGCAGAGTCCAGCTCAAGGTGGATTTGGCTGAAGAGGAAAGACAGGTGGTGTCCTTCAACGAGTGATGGTTAAGATCAGCAATCACTGCCCCACTCAGTGGAAGCATACAGGCTAAGGGGCGAAATGCTGTTGAAACTGAGATACCTAAAAACTTCTCTATGGCCTCTTTTATCGTTCACCCTCCCAATCTGCAATCTCAAGAGATCAATATATGCATAACCTTGATTCGAATATTAGAGCTGCTTTATCAGTGAAATCTGACTTTGTTATCTTTGGTGGCGATTTTAATTCAAGAAGTCAAAAATGGTGGGTTGGTGATACTAATACTTTAGAAGGAAATATGCTTTATGATGTGAGTGTGAATAATTCTCTGACCCAATTCATTGAGGAACCTACTAGAATTACAGCCACTTCTAGCTCATGTTTGGATTTAGTTTTCTCAAATTTTCCTGGAAAGGTATTAAAATCTGAGGTAAAACTGCCAATTGGGGGTTCTGACCATAGCTCTGTTTCAGCACTTTTAGATTTCTCTCTGCCTGATAGACATGCAGGGGATTATAAGCAGATCTGGCATTACAGTGATGCTAACATTTTACAGTTGAATCAAGCTGTATCTGATTTTAACTGGGATGCACTTTTATCTCACGAAGACATTGATACTGTCACTGTAAATTTTACCAATGCATTGTTTGAGATTTTTCAAACTTATATTCCATCCAAAGTGAAATTTATAAAGAAAAGTGATATGCCCTGGTTTAATCATGAAGTGAAATCAGCATTAAATAAGAAAGATAAATTGTATAGAAAATTAATTAAAAATAGAAATGATTTTAACTTCACAACATTTAAACATCAATGTGATTTAGTCTCAGATGCAATTGTTCATGCTAAAACCAGTTATCAGGACAAGATGTGCAGTAATCTTGATGAAGAGGCAGCTAGTAAGAAAAATTATTGGACCATCATTAAAAAATTAATAGGTTCTAAATTTGCATCAGGAATTCCTTTTTTAGAGATAAACAGGACGATCATTGAAGATGACCATGCTAAAGCTAATGCATTTCTCCATCAATTTTTACAGAAATTTCATCACAACATTGTTGATCAAACTTTACCAACTTGTCAAAGAAAAACTGATAACATGCTAAATGAAATTGATCTTTCACAGCAGTCAATAAATAAACATTTGAGGGAGCTTAAATCAAACAAAAAGGGGGGTGATGATAACATTACAAATAAAATGCTTAAACTGGTGGCAGATTCACTTGATGCAGAACTTCATAAACTTTTTAAACTCATTCTTACTAAAGGCAAATTTCCTAATTGTTGGAAGCAGGGCATTATTGTCCCCATTTTCAAAAATAAATCCTCAAAAGTTGACCCAGGGAACTATCGGCCAGTTTGCCTTTTAAGTAATATTTCCAAAATTTTTGAACGCGTCATATATGATTCAATATTCAAACATGTGTCATCTAACAATCTTTTGTATCAGAACCAATCCGGGTTTTTACCTGGGCATGACACTCAGAAACAACTTGTATCTATTGTAAATATGATTACTGCAAATTTTGACCATAATATTTCTACTAGAGGGATCTTTCTTGATATTGAGGGTGCGTTTGACGGCGTCCCCCACTACTTACTTCTCCATAAGCTAAAATCATACGGTATCTGTGAGAACATTATTAATCTGATAGGGTCCTACCTTAATAACAGAAAATTAAAAGTTAGGGTGAATGGTTCAACTTCAATAAATTCAGATACTCGATATGACAATATTGATGGGACAATGGAAGGGATTCTAGGGACAGGAGGAAGGGATTTAGGGGAGTTTGACAAAGGAGTAATAAATTGTGGGGTTCCTCAAGGGTCAATATTAGGTCCCCTGTTTTTCTTACTTTATATCAATGACCTAGCCGATGCAGTTTTAAATAGCACTCTGTACCTTTATGCTGATGATAGCTCAATTTTTCTACCTGTCAAAAAGGAGGACTCAGTTCATGAAACTTATCTAAAACTCCAAAGCGATGTTAATAGAATAGAGATCTGGTCAAAGACTTGGAAATTAAAATTTAAGACAAGTAAAAGTAAGGAAGTGTTTTTCCAGTCCAAAACTAGAACTCCAATTGCTCAAATTCCTATTGTGTTAAATGGTGACTCTATCCCTTTCACCAATAGTCACAAACATCTTGGACTTATTTTAGACAAGGCTTTAAACTTTGAAGAACACATTAACAGTATAATTGTTAAATGTAACAGGATGTTGAACCCACTTATGGCACTAAAACATAACTTAAGATCACAACATCTAGAGAAGATTTATATGGCATTTATACTACCTCACTTAGAATATGGGAATATCATTTTTGATTGTGCAAACTTAAATTTACTTTCTAAATTGGATAGTATTCAGTATAGGGCAGCATTGATTGTCAGTGGATGTACCCAAGGTACAAATGCAACCAAAGTCACCTCATGCTTAGGTTGGAGGTCCCTAGGGGCCAGGAGGGATGAAAAGAAACTATTGTTTACTTATGACGTCATAAATAACAACAAAATGCCTTCCTATGTAAACCAGGCCTTTTCTTTATATAGAAATCATAATGTAATGAATAATGGAAATCGGTTACGCAGAGTCAGATCTTTTAGAATACCAGCTCACTGTAAGGCCAAGATCAGAAAGGGTACAGTGATATCTTGTATAACAGCATGGGAGAAACTGCCTGGTGATTTGAAAGCTATCCAATCTAGAAATTGTTTTAAGTTTAACCTGAGGAAACATATTCAAAATTCTAAAATAAAGCTACCTACTCCAAAATTGCATCTTGATAGGAAGACTGAATCAACTTTGAATAAGACTCGATGTGACTTTATTTTTAGGCAGCATTTATTCACACATAATTTTAGAAACATTGATATTCCAAGTTGTAATTGTGGCTTTAGATCACAGTCTACAATCCACCTATTATTACACTGCCCTCTATTCATTGTTCAGCGAAACTTGTTTTTGGAAGAACTTGGGGAACTGCCATCCTTTGATTTAACCGTGTTTGGTCAACTCAGACAGCAAGACAGGGTAAATTATTTGTTATACGGTGATTGCTCATTATCGTATCTGACAAATCAGAAAATTGTTGAAATGACTGCAGGTTTTCTGCAGTTAATTGTTACTATTTTAAATGAGTAAGTTTTTATTTTTATATACTGTTCTGCATTACCGAGTTGATCCTTAAATCTCATTGCAACTTCACTTTACATTATATAAATTCTTGACTACCAGGGCCAATAATGCATTGCTTCGGCCCTTGCTGTGTTTGTAATTTGTTTTGTTTAAATGATAATAAAAAAACTTTAAACCTAAAACTGAGATACCTGCTGATGACACAGTGAAGGACTCCCACTTGTTTCTCTTAGACATTAACCACCGTTTTGCGTATCCCTGTTCAAATTGTAGCGATGCATCATAGATGTTTATAAAAACAAACAAAAAACATATGAGTCAAAAATATAAAGTGTGAAGTATTCTTCAAATTTCCGAGTTTGGCCATCTTATTTTAGATCTTGCCTATTGCTATTGGGGATTTCGATTTATTTTAAATTTTCAAACAAACATGGCAGACTGCATGGATAAAAAATTATACGCCAATGTCACATAACGAAGTAACCCCAAACCTCAAAATTTGGCGCAGTCCCCCTGGCCAATGCAAATCGCCAAAAGGCTCTGTGACAAAAAAGGTATACATGATACATTATGTCAATAAAAGTTATATATACAGAGATTTTAGTCTAGGGTGTGATAGCCTCATCCAAGAAGCGTAGCGTCATATACGCATAAAACGCAATGGCGTTCTCTCAAAATTTAGAGAAAAGTTAATTTTTTTAATTTACTTTTTATAATCCATATTAGTCGGAATTTCGTGTTTTAAAACCCCCCAGAACGCTTCAAATGCAATCTCATTTTCGAATTTTCTTGGGGAGAGAACCTCCCAAATCTGCATGAAAGCTTCTTCGCTTTGTTAACTCGTTGCGTACACTTACAAAATACCCACGCTACGCCACTGCACCCTGAATGATATGTTCACTAAATAAATAGGATAGCGGCTAGTATTATACAAGTAATATGTCTTTTGGAATGGGTTGAATTATTTTGTTCTAGACTCTAGGCCTATGGATCTTTTCAAGTATTTTTTGAAGTCTCTTCTGCTGAAGAGCTACGCTCCTACTTTGCAGTAGACCCCGAACCATTGATCACGCTTGCTCCTGTAATAATTCACTTCTTCACCTCCTTCAACCTTTATTTTTAATCCCTCGATCAAATATTTCGGATTCTAACCTCAAATTCAAACATAATTATTTTTTTTAAAATACTATATAACTTCAAATAGGAGCCAAAATTCCAAAATTAGCTAAAAATTTAAATTATGCAATGTCGTGATACACATTCCAAGTCATCTGTGACGTCAGAGTTGTATTGCCCCATCAACAACTAACCAAACAAATAATATAAAGCTCACTGATTGGTTCAAAGTTTCTTCGATAGTTTGTGATGTCATGTGACTTTACACAAACAAGCACAGTCAGAGAGAATGTTTCTGGCAAAATTCTGGGATTTCAAATACTTGAAGTTGGGAAACCGGAAGGGCTTACCTTTTTTAATTCCCGAATCTCACCGAATCTCTCCGAAATTAGCTCATCTTGGTGACTGTAAATTGCACAGCTGTATTCAATGGAGTCTTGTCATATTCAATCAGCCTCAATTTTAAAGTGTATATTTTATTTTCAACGTGATTTCATCGGTTTTTGTCGACTGGTAAGAATACACTGGGCAAATGGCAAGATGGATGACTTTTGACCTGACCTACACCGATGGCGGTGACGTCATCAATTTTATCTATACAAATTCTATTTGGTCACGTGACCTTGTGTCAGAAGTCCGACTTTTTGGTCAGTCGACCTGTTCAAAGTACATTTAGTAATAATTATCGCTTTTCAGAACAATTTAGGAAACAATATTTTCTATCTACGTCGATTACAAAGCATCTAAGGTACGTAAATTTATATGAACAACTGAGTCAATAGGGATAAATAGCCCAACGAGAGTCGGCGGTCTTAAAAAATACTTGGATCTGGATGCCAGTCCTGGTATAAATATAGTTCCAGGGCAGTTCGAAGAACGTATTAGATGTCCATGCAAACAAGTATATGTCAGTGCCTTTCTCTTTTTTTGATGACCAGTGAATCAGAAATAAGTTACCAACCATGAACCAATTAGGATAATCAACCGATTGTATCAGGGCCTTTACTGCACACATGCCCATTGCCCAGGAAGCCTGTGGTTTGCTGCATTTTCAGTTCTTGTTTCAACTTTTCTCTGTTTTTGAAATATTTTCAGTTTTCCGGTTTCAAATATTTAGGAAACAAGCATAATATGCACTCTCTACCCACTTTTAAATCAACATCATCATTAAAATACTTCTTATACATTTATATCATATACATACCCCAGCAGATGTACGTTCTAGTGGTCAATACAGTTGATAATTAAGCTCTGGAACAAATATTTTCATCCACGCGGCGTAATCCAGCTGAATTTCAAGTGACCTACATCCGGGAGAGTTACTAATGTTGGGAAAACAGAAAGAAATCGTGGAAGATAAACTTGTCATATATTTCATGAAAAACACAAGTTAATGGATACTAATTCAGGTAAGCGTTACTTTTTATTATATAGCAACGTTTGAACATTTCAAATAATGGTTCATTTCCAATAATTATGTATTCAAACCTGTACAATCAAACTTTGAAAATTTGTTCAATTTTTTGGCCTCTCTGCTTCAAACTTGACCTTTGTCCAGTTTGAAAATGGTCCAGTTAGATCTACTCATTGGCCCAATAAGTAACAACAATAGTAGAAGGGATATTGCCATCATATTAGATATATGTTGAGGTCATAAGAATAAATCAGGAGTTAAAGTCCAAGATTTAGATCCTCTGGCTTCTCAGCGCTAGCCTACAATATTCTTGCAACATATAAGAAGGGGTGTAACGGTGACACCATTTTGGGGTAACTTCGACATGTGGGGTAACTTCGACACTCTGTTGTTTATTTGCTATAATTTCTGATCTAGGGGGAAGCCATGTTTTTTTCTTGCATGGATCGAAATCTCGCGAGATTCTAATTTTTTCAGAAATCAAACATGGCGGAATACCATCTTGAAACAATGATCCATTTCTGTTCTGAGCGAGAGTTCTATCAATCAAACATTTAATTAGTTTCTCCCAAAAATGATGGTTTAGAATCTTTAGCTGATTTCAGCAGATTTTGATCTTTTTACAAGTCATTCTTGAGAACAATTGCAAATCTATTGTAATCATTGATCTGGAATTCCTGTTGAGAAGTGCAGTTTCGTCGATCCAATAGCATAGCTCCGAACAATTAGTTGATTATTGGAGCAGCAGTTGTTGATATAGAAAATCCAAGACCCTCTCTCCTATTCTACCATTTCAGGCATTATATTGTTTATTTTGGTCAGTTAGAATTGAGAAGATCAGAGCGAAGTGACGTCACACTTCCGGAACTGTGAAAAATGAAAATTTCGAAGCAAAGTTTCTCGACTCAGGCGTATTTCCAGTGGTTTGGTTGTTTGCAATGGAGGTGGGTGATATTATACAACTATATTTCACGACTAATCTCAACTTGATCAAGTAGGTCAACATTTGCTGTCTGGAAAAGACGCAAAATACTCATTATTTACTTATTTTTCACAAGTGTTTTTTCAGTTTTCTCAATTCTGACTTGAGTTGTTTCACTGAACTATCCCAGTCGTCTAACCTGACCAGGTAGACCCGATACTGTCTTGAAAAGAATCATAAGCTCTGAAAATAAGTTTTATGATACCCAGGTAATATGTTCAGTTTGTGACATTGGAAATGCAACTGAAGACATGTATTTTGTAAATAAATTCTATTTTCTTTTTTTCTCATTTAGATTTACTGAGTGACATGAAAGTTATATTCTGTAGTGTCTCAAACATGTAAATAGTCTCTACAGATTTTTTCTTTTTGAGTCCTATAAAAGTAAGGACTATAGTGCATTGACATTTTCTATAGATTATAAATGATAAACCTGATTCATTGACTAATGTACCATATCTCACTGCAACTTGTATACACATGTATTTATGTCTTGATGCCATAATTAAATTATATGTATGCTTGATTTCTCCATTCCCTCCTGAATCCTTTGCCTTCTAATATCGATCATGACTGAAACACTCTGTTTACTTATAGGAATTACTGCTGCTATCCTGGGAGGGAAATATCTTTATGATGGGGGTTAGCTTAGTCCAATGGAGGTCAGCTATAGGCAGGTTCAACCTATACAACATCAAGATTTTCAGTACAGGGACTAGTAATATAAACAAATCTTATGTGCTTTCATTTACTTTGCCTTGTATCATAGCTATGATGATATTTTCGCTTATCGCTCTGTTATCGATAAAGCTCTTTGATACAATTAAACTGATATATTTTACCGTTACAATTGGAATGACAGTTTTAAATATAGCATCCATGTATCTGCTTATTCCACTGCTTCTAGTCTTAAGAATATACTCACTATGTCACAGGAAAGTTAACCCAAGGTTTTTGCTAGCCTTAATATGCATTACTTTGATATTTTTAAGTGTTCCTGGATTAAGCGGCACTTATCTGCAACCTAATATCAATCAGCTCAAGCTTACATTATCAAATGATGTACATCCTCACCCAGGGCCAGTCCCATATAAAGGTAACTTAAACATTTTATTCTCCAATATAAATAGTATTGGAGCCGATGCGGGTACTCGATTTGAATCCCTGAATGACCTAGTTAAGGAAATGAATGTATCGATTGTGGGACTTTGTGAGACTGGAAATTTGACCACTATATCAATCAAAGATAATTTCTTGCTGAATGGATTTCATAATCCATTACACAATCAAAATAATCGAGGACTTTTGATCTATATAAACAACAACATTTTATGTAACGAAAGACCCGACTTGAATACAAATTACTCCCTGTGGGCCGAACTGAGAATCAAACATAAAACCTTTTTGTATGGAGTTTTTTATCGCTCACCCTCACAGTCAGTAAATGAGAGAGATGAATTTATGAAACTTTTGACAATGAATATAAAACAGGCAAAATCACGAAATGCAGATGGAATCATTTTGAATGGTGACTTCAACGCTAAATGTAAACAGTGGTTTCTCAATGGGGATGAAGATAGAAATGGAAAAATTTTAAATGATATATTTTTTGATAACGATTTTGACCAGTTAATAAAAGAACCAACAAGAATCACACCAACATCTGCTACTTGCATTGATCTCACAGTCACTAATGTCCCAGGTCTTATAAATTCTTCGACTGTAATTGAACCTATAGGCTCATCAGACCATTGTTCAATTTTTACTCAACTCGATGTACTATTAAATAGAGAGGAAGATCAATTTAAACTTATTTGGAAATATGATACTGCAAATAAAGATGCTTTGAACCTTGAAATTGAAAAAATAAACTGGGCTAATTTTTTTACTCAAAACCATGATATGAACACTTTAAATGATCAATTTACTTATACAATTCTTACCATCTTTAAAAAGCATATCCCTCACAAAATGAAAAGAATTAAAGCGAATGATCGACCTTGGTTCAATGAGAGTATATCTCATGCGATTCAGAAAAAGAAAAAACTCTATGTTAAATTCAAGAAAAGCAATCTTCCTGAACATTATACAGCATATAAGAATCAGACTGAAGCTGTCAAGAACCTTATTTTAGAAACCAAAGCAAAATTTACATCAGATCAAATAGAAAGTCTAAATGGAGAAACACATGCAAGTGACAAATTTTGGCAACTTATAAAAAAGTTTTTAGGTAAAAAATTTAGCTCGCCTATTCCTACCATAGAAAACCCTTTAACTGGAACTACCTGTTTGACCAGTCAGGAGAAAGCTACTGAATTTCAAAAATATTTCTCTAACATGTATCACTTAGAACCAGATGCATTGAATAATAATATTCATTTTCCTGACAGATGCAATATCAAATTAGAGAACATTGACTTTGACCAACAGGAAATTATCTCTATAATTAAGGATCTTGACCCCTCAAAAGCAAATGGTCCAGATGGAGTTACAATAAAAATGCTCCAGCTATGCAGGAATACTATTTCTGTGCCACTTAATTTACTTTTTCATAAAATTTTGACCACAGGTAATTTTCCCCAGAACTGGAAATTAGGGGATATCTGCCCAATATTTAAAAAGAATAATAAGAATGACATAAGAAATTATAGACCTATATCTCTTATCAGTACTACTTCCAAAATATTAGAGCGAATTGTCTACTCTAAGATGTACGAACATTTAATTGAAAATAACTTATTGTATAAATACCAGTCCGGTTTTTTGAAAGGGCACAGCAATGAGTTACAACTGTTAGCCATCCAAAACCTAATTTGGCGCAATTTTAGCGACGGCAATGATACACGTGCAATTTTTTTGGATATTTCGGCCGCGTTTGACCGTGTCCCCCATTACCTTCTTCTAAAAAAGTTGAAAGCGTATGGATTTTCAGGAAACTTATTAGTTTTTCTAAAATCTTATTTGACTGATAGGAGTGTCAAAGTAACTGTGAATGGCAAATGTTCTGACACCTCTCCTAGCAACTACATAAACTGTTCTGTGCCTCAGGGAAGTATTCTCGGACCTTTGATGTTTCTCCTCTATATAAACGACTTACCGGACAACCTGACCTCAGAGTGTTTTATTTACGCAGACGACACCTCCCTCTTTGTACCTACTTCCCCAAACAATCCGCAGTCTCATATACAAATTCAAAATGATCTAAAAAAAATCGAAGCCTGGTCTAAACAGTGGAAACTAGATTTTAAACCAGAAAAGAGCAGAGAAATGACCTTTTCTAAGAAAAATAATCCAATCTATCCACCAGTTATCTTAAATGATAAACAAATTGAAAAAACTGACATTCATAAACACCTAGGCTTCATTTTTGATAAAAAATTAAGTGGGTCAGCACATATAAATTCTATCTGTGCAAAAATCCAAACAGCTCTTAACCCCTTAAAAGCACTTAAGGGTAGACTAAAATCAAAACAATTAAATATTCTCTATACAGCTTATATTCAGTCCTTATTTGATTATTGTGATATCCTTTACGACTGTGCTCCTATTTGTGACCTCAACAGACTTGACAGTCTCCAGTACCAAGCCGGTCTAATAGTCTCTGGTGCTCTCCCAGGCTCCAGCACTTCCAAAGTACTTAACATTTTGAACTGGTCCACCTTAACTGAGAGGAGGATCCTCCACTTTAAAACAATTATGTACAAAGCCGTGAACGATTTAACACCTATTTATATCTCAGATATATTTAGGCCATTCATAAACCCTCAAGCAAGATTGTTAAGGAAATCTCGAGATTTCACTATCCCTATTCACTATCCACATAAGTCTCCAATATACAAAATGATGAACCTATGGAATGATCCAGGATCTGTTCCCTTGGAACAAAAGCTCTTGCCAACTATTGCATCT